TTGAGCAGAAACTTAACCATCTTCCCTCATCTGCATATTGAAAATGAGACATTGCTAACCATTTTCCCTTACCTCAATTGTTTCCTTAAAAATCCTCAAGTGGCTTTATACAACATAAATCTTGATACAGACATGTCACTTACTTTTTTAAAAAGCCAAAAAAAAGGTTTTCCCAATGACCCTCTCCTTCGACATGGTTAACTTCTATTAGGATGGTTGAAAGAACATTAGTTTAAGATTTACATCTTCAGATCATTTGCAAGAGAGAAGGATGTTTTCTTGTAGAATGGGTTACTAATCTACCTTAGACTTTACTAATATTGTAAATTAAAAGTTAACAGATCCTAAATAATGCAAACTAAAGTAGACTTGCCAAAGATGAATGCATCTTAACTAAAACTACTATGTTCAAAGCCAAATTAACCTACATCTATAGATAGATTTGCAAATTTAACTACCACAGAATTGAAAATTTAAAACTAATTAACCATAAAACATGTATGAATAAAGATTAAACTAACATGGAAAATAAAATAAAAAAGAAGCATAAACGTTATATAAGTAATCATTTGATGAAAAACACTATTTACCGTAAACTTAAAATAAACAATGATTAGAAAAGAAATAGTACCTTGCAAAAATTAAAATACTTACTATCCACTACATGAAATGTAGTTGTGGAAGCAAATACAAGAATTAATTTAGCTATTTAAATATTTGAAACAACATAGAATCTACAAAGTACTATACTGGAAGATGAAATCTATAAACTAAAGCAAGTAGTTACTAACAAAATCTGTAAACAAAAGCAAGCAATTGCTAACAAAACTTGAGAATGCTAATCGTGTGTACGGTTGATTGTGTGTCGAATAATTCGAAACTTTCTTTTTTATTTGTTTTCTGCCAACTGTCCTCTCAATTCACTTGTTGGCTGTTCCAGAACATGGATAGTTTCTCAAAAAAAATGGACACATCAATAGGACCTAGTCAATGTTGCATTAGATCTTGCCACCTATATCATTCTAATGCTATCTCAACCCCTCAACTGCATTTCCTCCTAAATTATAGAAATTTCTGTTTCTTTTCAATTTAAATTGCAACTAATCAGATAAATGTCACTGTTTCCCAAAATCAATTTTTATGCAACAAGTGATCTGAGTCGGCCAATAAATCTGATGCGACCTCACCTTATTCATTAACACGTGGCATCACTTAAAAAGTTATAATTTATAGTGTAAACAATCCACTAACTGATTTTTTTTCTTTAATTTCCATTTTAGATTTGTTTCAAAAATAATAATAATAATGAGATTAGGTTTTCCATGTTTTTAATTGATGGGCTAATGATCTAATGTGAAGTGAGTCTATTTTCCTTTCTTTTTT